CTGTTGGCCATCTGGATGTCTTTAGAGAAGTGTCTATTCATGTTTTCTGCCCATTTCTTCACTGGATTATTTGTTTTTTGGGTGTGGAGTTTCGTGAGTTCTTTATATCTGACTTATTTCACTCAGATTATACTCTGTAGCTCCACCCATGTCTTTGCAAATGACAAGATTTCATTTTATGACTAAATAATATTCTATTGTGTATATATAACATCCATCCATCTATCAATGGACACTTGGGCTGCTTCCATAATTTGGCTATTGTAAATAATGCTGCTATAAACAGGGGTGCGTGTATTCCTTTGAATTAGTGTTTCTGTATTTTGGGAGAGAATACCTAGTAGTGTGATTCCTGGATTGTAGGCTAGTTGTATTTTTAACTTCTTAAGGAACATCTTAACGTTTTCCAGAGTGGCTGCATCAGTTTGCATTCCCATCAAAAGTGCACAAGGGTTCCTCTTTCTCCCCATCCTTGCCAACATTTGTTTCCTATGTGTTTGATTTTAGCCATTCTGACAGATGTGAGGTGTTTTCTAAAGAACTTTTTCAAGTCTATTTTTGAGAGAGACACACACAGAGAGAGAGAGAGAGAGAGAGAGAGAGAGACAGAATGAGCAGGGGAGGGGCAGAGAGGGAGAGAGAGAATCCCAAGCTGACAGCACAGAGCTCCATGCGCAGCTCGAGCCGTGACATCATGACTTGAGTCGAAATCAAGAGTCGAACATGGTTAATGGACTGAGCCACCCAGGTGCCCTGTGAGGGATTTTCTTATTGTGGTTTTGATCTGCTTTTCCCTGGTGAGTCATGTTGAGCATCTTTTCATGTGTCTGTTGGCCACCTGTAGGTCTTCTCTGGAGAAACACCTGTTCATGTCTTCTGCCCATTTTTCAACTGGATTATTAGTTTTTTGGGTGTTGAGTTGTAGCAGTTCTGTATATATTTTGGGTACGCTTTATCATTTATGTCATTTGCAAATATCTTTTCCCATTCAATAGGTTGCTTTTTTAGTTTTGATGGTTTGCTTCATTGTGAAACTTGAACCTTTTAAGGGCTTTTCATACCCGTAAAATTTCTCTGTATAGGTGGCTTACTCATTCTTGAATCCCTAGTGGGTTTTCATTATAAACTATTTTTTTTTTAAGATTTTATTTTTGTGTAATCTCTACACCCAATGTGGGGCTCAAAGCCACAACCCTCAGATCCAGAGTCACGTGCTTTACCCACTGAGCCGGCCAGGCACCCCTTGACTATAAACTATGGACCTAGAACTTTTATATGACTGGAATGTCAGACATGAAAACACTGCTGAAAATAACGAATATGGTACTTGGTCTGAGACTGTACTACTTGCGTGACACTGTGATGTGCTGTAGAAACAATCATCACATTGAATCCTCACAGTGACACACGTTTTGTTGGTAGTTTTGGTCACATAAATAAAATGGGGGGAAATGGCCAAAAAACTTAAGGTCACACAACTCATAAAACGTGGACCCAGACATCAGGCATTATTTTCCTGATTTCATCTTCTTCCCCCTGTATCATTGCAACCCCAGAATTTAAATCCTTTTTGAGTTGTGGACTGAATGCTTGGGAGGCACGAAGTACCAGTGAGTTGGAAGCAGTAAAGAAGAGGGGAGAAGCAGTTCAAAAAAAAAAAAAAAAAAAGCATATTGTCTTATGCTTACGTTACGTTATGCTTATGCTTATGTTACAAGAGTTTACGAACTGACAGAACACAGTGTTATTAGCAGGGCAGTTTAACCAACGAGTTTTTATTAAAAGCCGGGGTGCACCAGGCACAGTTGTACAGGAGGCTAACAAATCCAAATGTTGTAACTAATTCATTTATTAGCTTATCTGATCAAACAAAATACATTTCATAGAAATGATTATAAAACACATTGCCGATAGAAACAGAGTATGATTTATATTACAGAACTTATGGTACCTAAATAATTATTAATAAAAACCAGCCAACTCATATGGGAAACAGAAGTTAGTAAACCACCAGTTACTTCTTTATTATCGTCAGCAAGAGGGAGAAGCATGCACTTGTCATGCTCCACTGGGCTTCAGCGTTCACTATGGACATCCTGTTTCAAAAGTAACATAGTTCACCTGTCCATTTAAAAGTTCACTGTTTTTCATCCAGTATCAAAGCACTATGGTACTTTTTGGTTTCAAGATTAGTTTTGGTTGCAGAGTAAGCTTAATTTAGTACTTGAGTCGCATGTGTCACAGTTTCTGGATCTGGGGTGGGTGCTGACCAGTCCAGTTAAGTGTTAGTTGAACAAAACACAACACACGTGGGATAGTTTAATCTGCTCTGTGATATTCTTGTCAGTACTCGATTGAGAAGATATACAGGTGGTTTAAAGCAGAACAGAACAGCAGGAGGGGGGAAAAGAAAAACATGTTGGTGTTGCTTGAGGCGAGTCCTGTCTGTTAGAGCTATTTCTTGCTGTTTTGGAGAGTTCTGGCTAATTCTTGTAAGGATCGTATCAAGTTTATTGGCACGTGATCTATTCCTTACTTTGAAGGTTGGTTCAGAGGGGTGTACAGGAGAGAAAAGGGGCAGGGAAAGGACCGAAAAGGCATGGAGTGGAGTGTGTTTGCTGACAGTCAAGTTAACTGTGGAACCACAATCATCCGAGAGGGTGTCCACCAAGGCCCTTCCTGAGACCTCCAGAGATGGGTCTGTTTTCTTGAGGAAGCAGCACTGAAAACTTCCTCAGACAGGGTCCATGTTTATTGCACAGGAACCAAAATTATTTCTCTTCCCCCCTTTCCTGAGCTGGAGACCTCCAAGTGCACACATGGCTAGGGATGCCCATCAGCTCGCTCCTCTGGCCAGCAGGGAGCGCTCCACCACAATGACTGGGGGAACGAACACTTTCTTCAAAGGGAAGCACGAGGTATCATGTTGGCCCGAACAATGTGGTCCTTCAGTCACCATTCTCAAGCAGCTTCTGTAGGTTGTTTTGTATCTTAAAATAGTAAGAGAGAAGTTCCTGTTATTAAAGAGAATGGAGGGGCGCCTGGGTGGCTCAGTTGGGTAAGCATCTGACTTCGGCTCAGGTCATGATCTCACGGTTCTTGGGGTCAGGCCCCAAGTCGGGCTCTGTGCTGACAGCTCAGGGCCTGGAGCCTGCTTCAGACTCTGTGTCTCCCTCTCTCTGCCCCTCCCCCGCTCATTCTCTGTCTTTCAAAAATAAACATAAAATAAAACCCAGAATGGAATATATCAAGGGCCTATCTGCCATGGCGTACATAATTCTGAGAGGAATCGATTCTACCTGGAATAAAAAGCTACCCATGGGTTCAATTTAAATCAGGCAAATGCTTTTAAGTGGAATAAAACTCTGTTGATAATCCACTTTAAAGTGAAAAAAAAAGTGCTAAAAAAAGAAAGAATGGCACTGCAATAAAATGTCAGGAAAGACCAAGACAAGTCTGATGGAAGAAAAAGAACAAAAGCACAGGACACACCAAGTGTGACCTAAATGCAGAGAGAGTGGGAAACTGATCCTTAAAGAGCCTGTGTATCATGTGGTGTCTGATTCAAATCATCAATGTTTAATACTCCTACCAGATATTATACATTTCCCAGATGACTGAATGCCACAGATGAAGGGTCCATGACATGTCTTTGGATGTCGAGACTACAGTTCAATGTTGGGCATTAAAAATGTTCTTGGTAGAAGTCTACTGAGTAAGCGAACTTGGAAGATTTCTGAGCAAGGAATTCTCAACGAGCAACAGTGTGATGGCAGTGGGGAGCCCCATGGGACAAAAGAAAGAGGATATGTGTATGTTTTTGTGGAACAGTCTGCAACGTCCTGTAGGCAAAGAGGGAAGGATGTAGAATGCGTGTGCCCCGAACTTCATGTGTGCTCACCTTAACCACACAGAGAAAATTTCACGTATGATGTGGAGACACCACGAAACAAGACCAGCTACACAGACAGGAAGTAGCAGAGGACGGATAAGAACACTGGTCTGTCTCTTCACTGCTCCATCACTAATGCCATTGGCAGCACTAAGAAGGTACGTATTGGTGCACCTGTGTGGCTCCGTCGGTTAAGGATCCAACTCTGGCTCCGGTCATGATCTCACAGCTCATGAGTTCGAGCCCCACATCGGGCTCTGTGCTGACAGCTCAGAGCTGGAGCCTGCTTCGGATTCTGTGTCTCCCCCTCTCTCTGCCCCTCCCTTTCTCGTGCTCAGTCTCTCTCTTGCTCTCTCAAAAATAAATATTAAAAAAAATATATTTATTTCATTACCGATGAAAGGCATTGCCTTCATTCTCTCATTCCTACTCCCTTTCCTACCTACCCCGCAGGACCCAAGATAAACAGAAAAGCAAGAGTGGGAAGGTAGAAAAAGAAATGAAACAAAGGAATTACGACCAAAATATATAAAACACACCTACAAAGAAACTCAAACCAGGGGGATAGCTGCTATTTCACCGCCAGGCTGTGCTGCATCGCTCTAGCGGAAGCCATGCATGAGGCATGGCCACTGGTCTGCCTGTTGTGGACAGGCTCTCCTGTTTCTGTGTCCCTTCTTACAGCATGTGGTGCCCTAGCCAGGCCTGGCACAAGAAGGGGGCAGCGGGAGGGGCGCCTGGGTGGCGCAGTCGGTTAAGCGTCCGACTTCAGCCAGGTCACGATCTCCCGGTCCGTGAGTTCGAGCCCCGCGTCGGGCTCTGGGCTGATGGCTCAGAGCCTGGAGCCTGTTTCTGATTCTGTGTCTCCCTCTCTCTCTGCCCCTCCCCCGTTCATGCTCTGTCTCTCTCTGTCCCAAAAAAATAAACGTTAAAAAAAAAAAAAAAAAAAAAAAAAAAAAGGGGGCAGCGGGATTTGGTGTGCGCTTCTGGTCCAAGAATACCACTGTATGCCAGAGTGAACAAACCAGAGAATTCACACCATCCCATCCTCTAGGTCAGCATGGAAGCCAAACACTTGTAAGCATTTCATCACAAAACCAGAAAACTACCTCCGCTTCTCAGCAACTAATGTTTTATTGATTTACTCTCGAAAGTTAATTTATTTTGAGAGAGGGAGAGCAGGGGACGGGCAGAGAGAGAGAGAGAGAGGGAAAGAGAATCCCCAGTAGGCTCTGCACTGTCAGCGCACAGCCCGACATGGGGCTTGAACCCACGAACCGTGAGATCATGACCTGAGCCAAAACCAAGGGTCGGACCCTTAACGGGTTGAGCCACCCAGGCACCCCTAGGATGAAATATTTCTAGGGAGGAAAAGCAAAAGATAGACCAACAGGGGAAATGAGATTGAGACCTAGGTCTTTGTGGAAATAAAAAATACTCTTTCACATTTACCGTGCAGTCCCCTGGCTGGGTTTGGCCATTTAGGCTGCTTGCTGCACCCCGGAAGTGTTTTAAGCTAAGTGTTTTAAGTGTCGCCCCTGCTCTGTGGCCATCAACAGTCACCACCGCTACCACCCCAACACAGGAAATAAATGAGTCACCTTTTCTAATTTCATTATGTTAGCTGTAAGCTCTTGGCAGAGGACCTCCACGTTTAATTGGACTTGTGACCCCAGGCCGGATGGTGCTGTCTGTCTGTAAGAACAAAAAGAAAAACGCTGTGGGCAGGCGGGGGTGGCAAGGGAAGAAGTGGAGTGAACACAAATTTATTTGAACAGAAAATCAGGTTACAGTAGTAGACAGTGAGCCTTTAACTTGTGAAGATTACTGCAGGGCCTTTCTGATGTTAAGTCCAGACTGGGTGTTGAGGGGACTCTATCTTAAAAGCTCAGCTGGAAGTCTCTTAAGCTGTTTTTGTTGAGGTGGCTGTGTTGTGCCTTGGCTTCCAGACAAAAATCAGGCAATTCTGCTCAAGCACATGGCTTCTAAGACCTCTTTTGTTAACCTCTAATGTCCTCTCCATCCCCACTACTGCAGAAATTTCCAAGAATTATTGCTCTCCTCAGTCACAGGCATTTTTTTTTTTTTTTACAGGAGGAGGAGCCATTTACACTAGAACTTGGAGAATGTTTAGGAATGTCCTTAATCAAATTGATTGCTTTTGAAGTGTGAGACTTTAGCAATTCTGTTTTTGAGACTTGCCGTGCCAATGTAACCGCTGTGGTCTTATAACAGATGGAGTCAGTGTTTACCATTTGAACTGTTTATGGCGTGGGCTCTTCTCTTCCCCAGGGTCCGCTGGGGTCATCTACCAGCTAAAACTGTAGGAAATTAAGAGATATGTACATTATCCTGGAGATGTATGTACATTATGCTCTGAAGGCGTTTATTGGATTTTTACATTAAGGTTTAGAACAGGGATCTAGAACTTATCCGTGTTTCTTGATTGTAATTTATTTTTAGATATTAAGTTTTTAGATGGCAATGATGGGTCTATTTTACACAGGATCAGTTTTTCACATGGTAAATTTCAGATGGTGATTTACTTGGTAAATTATGATCATGTAAATATTAACAGAGCCATCAGATGTTTTTGTGTTTACTAGTACTAAAACAGTTTTTTCTTTACCCTTGATCCCTACCATCAAAATCTTACATCTCAAAAAAGGAGGCTGAATTGAAATGTTTCAGTGTTTAGATGAGGGAACTGCGATCCAGAAGACTGACCCATCAACATGAAATTCTGAGTGTACAGGCTATTAATATACTAGTGAAGCTGGTAAAAGGAATGGATTCTGGTACAACTAAAGAATCCAAGTACAAACAGGGATTTAGCTATCGGGCAGCGTGGCTGGAGCACCTTGGAGTAAGAAAGATACGGGGGAAGCTCAGGTCCTGTAAAAGTACTTTATGAACAAATTTTTCCCGTCATGGGTATTCCTGGTCTCATGTCATAAATAATCATTGTGATTTTTCCTGTAAGTGATTATTTTTCAGATTGTACTTCTTCCTGAGTTGATTATTTAAATAGTGGAATGAAATATTCCATTTGCCCTTGTTAGTGGCATTTCCCCCTCATCATCACCAAGTTAGTGAAATGATAATAGGACATGAGGTAACACTTTCCTAAAAAAACAAACAAAAAAACAACCTTGTATATGATAGTGAACTAGGAAGTAACACTAGATTTTTGCAGACTAAGTATGTTAACAATTTGAGTAAGGGTATGCACTATTTCAGACTATTTAGGTTCTGCATTACTGGTTTAAATATATATATATATATGTATATATATGTGTGTGTATATATATGTATATATATGTGTATATATATATGTGTATATATATATATACACATATATATATATTATTCTTTAGGTTCTGCATTACCTGTTTAAATATATATATAACCAGTAATGCAGAACCTAAAGAATATATATACATATATAATATATATACACATATATATACGTACATATATGTATATATATACGTATATATTATATATGTGTATATATATGTGTACATATATATATATACATATATACACACACACACACACACACATACATACATACACACATGTCCAAAAGAATCTATATGCCAGCGTCTCTGTAAACTACTACTAAGACTTTAGGTAGTTGTTTGAGCACAAAGCTGTTTGTACCCAGAATGGTACAGCATAATAGTCCTCCAATTATAGACCCAGGCTGGCACCATCAGCATCAGCTGGGAATTGACAGAAATGGAAGTTCTCAGGCTCTCATATCTAGTGCCTCAGAAACTCTGGAGATGGGCCCTGACATCTGTTGTAACAAGCCATCCAGATGATTCTGAAGCACAGTCAAAATAGCCTGACCCAGGTCCTAGGCTGTACCTCACAACCAAGCCATCGGTGGGCTGGAAAGCCTATCCTCTGTGTAGTCATACAGACTTGCATTTGAATCCTGATTTTACTACAAACTGTAAAACAAACTGTAACACACAGTAGAGTCTCTAGCGCATGGTACAAACTCTGTAAACGAGTGTCTCTACTTCCAGAACTTGGGCTAAAAGTATGCTTTCTAATACTGAGTAGTTTATTTTACTTTTTTAGGTAATGCATCAAAATCCTTACATGAATGGATGTAAAGGAAAGAGCTCTAGGTCTAAATAGGTTTAATTAGGTCAGGCCTGTTAAAAATGACTGATGGGGATACCGTCTTCATGGTAGTGGCTGCGATGGCTGTGGTTGAGTCACTGACATGCACCTCTTTGTCCATGCCCAGGAGCTACACCCCCCTTGAGGTGAGGGCTAGGAGACAGTCACCCAAATCAAGCCTCACGTAGGCTGGCTAGAGGGCATCGCTCCAGAAGATCAAGTTGTGCCCCTGGCAGGCACGCCCCTAGAGGATGAGGTACCCTGGGTCAGTATGGAGAAGAGGCTCCGACCACCTTGGATGTAGCTGGCCACATGCTTGGAGATAAAGTCCATGGTTCCCGGACCCATGCTGGGAAAGTAAGAGGGCACACTCCCAGGTTGGCCAAAGAGGAGAAAAAGAGGACCAGCCAAGCCAAGCGGTGAATGCAGTATACAACAGGCACTTTGTCAACGTTGTGCCCACCTTTGGCAAGAAGGGCCCCAATGCCAGTTCTTAAGTCCACTGTAGTCCTGGCTTTCCCCAATAAGGCCAGTTAGTCCAGTCAAAAAAACAAAACAAAAAACCCCAAAAAAACACTGTGAAGGAAAATCTTCACAGATGCATTCGGCTAATTACTAGTCACATGGATCTTCATAGTGGTCAAAAGTTTCGTAACTATAGGAGTTCATATAAAGAATTAATACATGAAAAGTGAGCTGAGGTACTTGAATTGCTTCTTTCCTATCAATGTCTTCACCCACTGCCATTTTACTAAGGTAAGTTTTGCTGGTATAAGTTAATCAACAGGCCAAGGTCACAAGTGAGTCTTAGGATAATAGAATAAGATAATGTAAAATCAGGCTTGTTTCTTGCCTTATCAACCTAAGAATGGTTCAGAGGCACAGCATTCATTTTGGGGACCCTCCCACCTACGTCTTTGCTTCCCACATACACATTTCAGAAAATGTCGCATACAGAATGTAGACTTAATTCGTGTTTGCTAAGGATGGTAAATACCAGTCAAACATTATGCTAGTCTCAAGAGCAAGCAGATGATAGCACCAGAGGGAACTGTCTTACTCATTATGATGAATGTCCACAGTGGAGGTTAGTGACCCCAGCCTCTCCTCCAGAGTATTAATTCTGTATCTCATGTAGAAGGTCGAGATGATTAGTGCACAGACACTGGAAAGGGATAAAAGAGAAATTCGCAATAGGTTAATGAACTGATGTCCATAAAACAATCAACTCAGAGCCAGTGTTGGACATTTGAGGCAAGATATTCTCCAAAATGAACTTGCCAAAGAGACTTGAAAAAGGTCTTTTTTCCAACAGGCTGATGCTGGTCAGAAAACTTGAGAGCTAGAAAGAGATTTAAAATTCTCTGGCCCAGCTTCCTTAATTGACAAACAATGGCCATCCTACTAGGATGTCTCAAGGCCATGCCCAAGGTGGATTACCAAGCCCATGGTCCTACTCCCAGTGCTGTGGCCCTCACCAGAAGGGCCTGGCAATGAGTGCCTCGTCTTGTTATCTGGTGACTCATAAACTCCCTTCTTTATCTGGAAACCAAACTGGGCACATCCTCCTTGGTTGTCAGGAACAGCCTAGAACTAGGTCAGGCTATTTTCAGAAAAACAACTGATTACAAACTGGAAGCTGAGGGGGAATTTTTAAAAGTCAATGCCTGAGTTTTCGTTGAAGGGGATGATGGTATTTTAAAGCTGTTTTGGCTTCTATCCAGAGGACATGGGATAGATGGGAAAATAAACACTAAGGCCAACGACGCTTCATAATTCACAGAACAATTTTCTAACGAATGGCATCCACTCAGAACTTAGTTCTCTGCTGGATCTGGCACATTTTGGTTTTCCTTCCTCCCTTCTATTTATTTAAATAAGGAGATGAATATGAAAATGTAACCTAAGCCTAAGGGGGGAAAAATGTTGGAAGAAGACACAAAAAATGTCAAAGAAAAGCTCTGGATCGCATTAGAGACAACTGAGATTTATAAAGGTTCTTGCAACCATGAAATTATTTTTTTTAGAGAGCGGAATCATTTTCTAAAGTCATTCCTAATAAATTCATCTACTTACACGATTGCGTAAAAAATAAGAATATGGTGGAGAGTCGTACATGTCTGAGGCTTTACTTTGTGTAAGATTCCAATGGTTTCTGACTGACCTGTTGGGAAGAAAAAAAAAGGAACAGTTTTAAAACTACAACACACCTCCTTCATCCAGCAAAATCCCTATGGGGAAGGGATAGTTGAAAGAGATAATTATTCCTGGGTAACAGAAATAGGAGAAAACATGAAGTAAAGCCTTCCAGGTATCTTTTGAATTTTTTTTTTAATTTTTATTTTTTTAAATGCTTACTTTCGAGAGAGAGAGAGAGAGAGAGAGAGAGACAGACAGACACGAGCGGGGGAGGGGCAGAGAGAGAGAGTGGGGACAGAGGATCCCAATTAGGCTCCATGCTGACAACACAGAGCCGGATGTGGGGCTCGAACTCACCAACCGTGAGATCATGACCTGAGCCAGAGTCGAATGCTTAACTGACTGAGCCACCCAGGGGCCCCTTTCCAGGTGTCTTTTTAACCAGTAGTTCTAACTCCTTCCAACTCGTTTCATCCAGTATATACTTACTGAGAGCCTTCTCTCTGTCAAGCACTGCATTGGAGTGAATGGTAAACAATACAGACACCGTCCTTGCCCTCACACCAGTATCATTGGTAACCAGTTAGGAGAATAATTAGTAAATAAAAAATAATCCAGTAATTTGAGTTTTACCAGCCATTTTGGAATCATAATCTCAAAGTAGTCACAATAACAAAGGGACCTCCATGAAGGCCATTTACCTTTGTATCCTCCATAGTAAGACAGAACTGGGTACTGTTAGTTGAATGAATAAATGAATTAATATGCAAAGGAAATAGATGTTCAGTAGGAAGGGGAGGAGGCAATATGAAAGGCAGTCATAAAGTGAAATATGAGGGCCCTTTAAAAGTTACAGGCAGATGTCTGTCACTATCCCATTTACCCAAGACATTGACTCCTTACCATGTGTAGGGAGACTCTTGGCTTTTCCTTCAGGCACTCTATTCACATGGGCATCTGCCCGAGTTGGTTTTGTTTCTCCCTTGGAGACATTCAGAACTGTCTGGGATTCTGTCACATGGAAATCTATCAAACCAAAATGGAGCTGGCTGAGTTTTCTTCCCAATGCATTTAAAAAACACAGGAGCAACCACAAAGCACATCAGTCTCACAACATGTGGAATGGCCAAGAATATAAATTGATCTTCTCACAAGTTGGTTCAGTGGTTAGGTATTGAAATCCAATACTTAAGCAAGTAAGAAAATGATATAAAGACAGTCTGTCCTTAGCCCAGTGACTCATGGGGACCATTCAGCTCTAACAGTGAATAGTATTACTGAGATAAGAAGAAAACATTCTATGTTTTTCTCTTTCAACCACCCTCATATTATGTCGATTTAAGAGATATTTTTTGGGGTGCCTGGGTGGCTCAGTCGGCTGAGGGTCCGACTTCAGCTCAGGTAATGCTCTCACACTCTTTGAGTTCGAGCCCCACGTCGGGCTCTGTGCTGACAGCTCAGAGCCTGGAGCCTGCTTCAGATTCTGTGTCTCCCCCTCTCTCTGCCCGTCCCCTGCTCATGCTGTGTTTCTGTCTCAAAAATAAATTAAAAAAAGCAAAAAAAAAAATTAAAAAAAAGAGACATTTATTGTGTATAAAGAGAAATGGATTTTTACCATGTAGACCATTCTTTTCCCCCTAAAACTTTCAGACTACCCTTTCTCCAAAGTCCCTTGTCAATTTTTTTTTTTTTTTCTAAAAGTTTATTTATTTTTGAGAGGAAGGGCAGAGAGGGAGAACTTGGCAGGTCACTGATAGCTCAGAGTCGTGTAGGGCTCAAACCTACTAACCAGAGACGGGCGACCTGGGCTCTAAATCAAGAGTTCTGAGCCACCCAGGCACCCCTTTCTCCATTGTTAATTAGTCCCTTCTTAATTGCTGATTAATTGACAAGGTGTTGATTTCCGTTGGTTTTGTCTTTGTTTTTAAGGGGTGACATGAGGATGTTTTGTGGAGCATGACATTTTAGAAATTTCTCGGACCTCGAGAGTTCTCGGATTCGGGAGTCTGGGAACCAGAACTGCTGTATCCTTCCATGTCTTGCCTTCTTTGTCGGACTACTCCATCCAGATCTGAGAATTCATCGTTGAGATCCTGAAGGGAAACAAGGCAGTGTACAAAATCCAATACCCCTCATTACACAGGCAGGCCTCTGGAACCCCCAGGCCTTTCCACTTAGGCCTAACCTATAAAATACTGAAAAGAAGGGAAGATTACCCCGTACCACTGGGATTTTCCCCAACAGGTCAGAGGATCTGGTTACTGAAACACATTTTTTCTGGGGAGTTAGAATCCTGTCAAGAGTGGCCAACTTGTTTCAAACAACAAATGTCTAGGGGAAAAAAAAAAAAAAGAGCTGAACTGATGATTGAAAAGCTTCCAGGATAAAACTGGAGAAATCTCTTTAGGATGTTGTAATGAGAAAAACTGATTGACATGGACATATATACGAGAAAAAATAAGATGTCAAGTTTTCTAAAATACATGTGTTAAATGCATAGGTACTTGTTAAAACACAGTTTAAAAAAGGTATGGACAACAAAATGGAAAAGGGCTTTAACAAGTTACACACTGAAAGGAAAGTTTTGGCTATTTTTCTTCCCTCTCTGACCCCCTTAAAACCCAGTCAGTGCTATTCCTTTTGAATTCCAGAGGAATGATGGAGGGGTAAGGAGTAGGGAAAAAGCAGGGATGTTTTAGTTTGTATTTCATTTTCCCCCACAAGTGCTTAAGAACCGGAGTCACAACAGGTGTCATTAAAATGTCCTGGGGAAGGTCCTGTTAGGCTGAGCTTTTCACGACTTAGGTCGCTGCCAAACGAAGAGACTTATCTGGTAAGCAAATGACCACGCTTTCAGCTGATACTAGCTATCTGTTGATCGTTTCAATAACTCATTTCCATTTCAGGCACGAATTTATAGGAGGCAGAAAGTTGAAAAATTCAAGTCTCTTGGGTGTAACAATTAGTAATTGAATGCCTGTCATCTTTCAGACGGTAGGCACAGCTCCTTGCATAGACGACTGCACTCAATCTGCACAGCCACATCGTGAGGTTGGCATTTTACTGGATGAAGAAACTGAGCCACAGCAGTTCAAGAGCTTGTCTGATGGCATAACTCAGCTGGGTGGAGCCCAGATTTGAAACCAAGTTTGTTGGTTGCAAATCATATTGTGTTTCATTTTCTTTTGTCTTGCTCTCCCCTACTTTCTTTCAAGGTGTGTTTTTTTTTTTTTTTTTTTTTTTTTTTTTTAAACTGAGATAAAAATTCATGTAATACAAAAGACATCACTGAAAGCATACAATTTAGTGGTGTTTAGCACAATCACAATGTCATGCCGCCATCACCTCTTATTTCAGAACATTTCCATCACCCCCAAAGTGAAACCCTTTACCTATTAGCAGTCACCCTAATTTCTCTGTCTTCCGCCATCCCTTGGCAACCACTAATCCACTTTCCCTCCCTATCAATTTGTCATGTAAATGGAATCATCTAGTATGTGGCCTTTTGTGTCTGGCTTCTTTGACTTAGCATCATGTTTTCGAAGTTCCTCCATGTTGTATCTATCAGTTCTCCTTCCTTCTCAGGGTCAAATAATATTCTGTTGTATGGACATATGACATTTGACTTATGCATTCAGAAGATGATGGACATCAGGATTGTTTCTATTTTTTGGCTATTATGAACAAAGCAGCTGTGAACATTGTTATACAACTTCTTATGTGGACAGGTTTGCAATCCCTGGACTTTTTCACAGCTCTTAAAAAAAAGATTTGTAGATGTTAAAACCATGGGCTCATACCAGTATACCAAAGGTATTTCAACATGTAACAGTGATTCGTTTGGGAATAATGACTTGAATAAATACGGCTAGAACTCGCTTGAGCCAACATGATGCCACCATAGGTAGAAAACCTGTACAAATGGGGGAGAGCTACTTTGCACTGGAGATTTACTGTACTGTCAACGGAATCTGAAGGAATCAAAAAATCTCTTTCACTTGGTCACTATAGAGTGCTTCTTTTATAATTATTTCTGGATGTTCCTCATCTTTTCTACTAAGCTAGAAAGTCTTGGAAGGCAAGAAGTAGTTTTGGGCTTTCTTGGTGTCCTTATAGCCTTACACTAGCACAGTGCCTTGAACAGAGAAGACAATCAGTGATTTGTGGGGATGGACCATGCCCCTCCCCCAACCATTGGTGAATCCCTCTAAAACAACACTGACAAGCAAACGGAGCAAGATTTTAGGATCACCTCCACGGACCACCCACTCGCCCAGACAGCCATTATCCTGTTTCTTTAAAAAAAATTTGTTTATACTTTATTTTTGACAGAGAGAGAGAGACAGAGCACAAGTGTGGGAGGGACAGAGAGAGAGAGAGAGAGAGAGAGAAGGGAGACACAGAATCCGAAGGAGGCTCCAGGCTCTGAGCTGTCAGCACAGAGCCCTCCGTGGGGCTCGAACTCACACACCGTGAGATCATGACCTGAGCCCAAGTTGGATGCTTAACCGACTGAGCCACCCGCAGGGGCCCCTATACTGCTTCTTTTCTTTGGTAGGACAGCTCTTCGATTACTTGGAAAAAGTTGATGGCCTTCTATGGCCCCCCCCCCGTTCTTGAGGACAGAAACACCCTGTGTCTTCAATTTTACCTCAGATATTAAGGTCCCCTGGTCATGGTGTCAGGAGAAGTGTAACTGTGGGACGCATCATCCCCTTTCTTTCGCACTGAGCTAGTTAGGTAGGCAACTCACCAGAGGCAGAGATGAAGGGCGGTCTGCCCGGAAACTGTTCTCAAGAGAAGACGGGTTGGGACTGTTCCCAACACTTGTATTCTGAAATTAGTGAAACAAAAAGGAAAACCAGATCAACTACGAAACCACGGGAAATCCAGAAGAGAGACAGCAGGTGAGGCTCGGCGATGTTGTACTCACTTCTAAGTGTCCACACACAGATTTTAGTAGTTTGTAAGTGGAATCTCTGGAGAGTAAGGAGACAAATATGTACTGCAAAACAAAACAGAGTGATTACGGAACAGATGCTGCCTGACCAGAAGTCAGAGTTCGGAGTGCAGAACTTTATCTGTATACATGTTTTCTTCTCTTTTCCCCTGGTCTACAATCTCATTCACCTCTATCAGTTTTTATTCTGTTCCTGGAATGAACAAAATCTACTCCCCCACAACAGCAACAAAACCTTCAAGCCCCCTTTAAGTAATAAAGAAATGCTAAATGGTATGAAGGCTCCAATACCCTGACACTGATGTCCCCAACAGGCAGGCAAGACCTGGACACTAAGAAAAAAAAAAAAGGGCTAGTGATATTTGCCAGATCCTCTTTAAAACTTGTTCCCCACTGCCTACCCCTTTTAAGGTATTTAACAATTCCCAAGGGTCTGCTTTCTCTGTTCTGACCTAGATTTCCACTAAAAATTTCCCAGAGGCTCTCACAGGCTTGTTCTTTTTCAAGCCACTTCCAGATTCTTCCTTGTACAAATATGGAGATTTTTCTAGTGGATGCTTACACACAAGCGATGGGAAAGAAGTGAAATCAGATTAGACAAGTAATTTGGAGACAAATGACATAAGGAAAAGTAATTTTACTAAGCGGTACATTGAAGAAAATACTAAAACTCCCTCTTTCTCCACCTATTAGAGCCACAAAATCTTTTCACATCCCCTTTTCAGAAGTCTGTGATTATCCCTTTCACTCGTCAAGGAGAGCACTAGATATGCTTTTTTTTTTTTTAATTTCTTTTTTTAATGTTTACTTATTATTGAGAGACAGACACAGATCATGAGCAGGGAGGGGCAGGGATAGGGGGAGACAAAGAATCCAAAGCAGGCTCCGGGCTGTCAGCACAGAGTCCGATGTGGGGCTTGAACTCACAAACTGCGAAATCATGACCTAAGCCGAAGTCGGACGCTTAACCGACTGAGCCACCCAGGCGCCCCTCGATATGCTTTCCAAGCAAGCATGTATTCCAAAGTAGTTAACACTATGGGTTCTGCATTAGACCTACTTGCAGAGTCTGGCTCTGACACTCAGGAAGTAGGTGACATTGGGCTAACAGCCCCACCACTCTTGGCTTCAGTTTTCTTTAATTAAAAAAAATTTTTTTTAAATTTTTATTTTGGCAGGGAAGGGGCAGAGGGATAGGGAAAGAGAGAATTCCAAGCAGAGTTCATGTTGTCAGCGCAGAACCTGAGGCAGTTCTCCATCCCGTGACCCTGGGATCATGACCTGAGCTGAAATCAAGAGTTGGATGCACCAACTGACTGAGCCACCCAGATGCCACTTGACTTCAGTTTTCGTGACACCTACCCCTAATAGGTAGCAGTGTGGGACAAATGGGAAAACAGAAGGAAAGTGTTTAGCATATGCGTGGCGAGAAGTACATGCTTATTAGCCGTTAATGTTAACATTTTTTTTTCAAAATATTAATATATTTCCGACCACGTCAGAATAGCCTCTTATATCTTTCCTTCACTCTGCTTCCCTCTTCAATTTATCCAGTATGGTCGGAAATGGAATGTAGCTTTTATGCTTTCATAGAAATAGTCAGTAAAATATTAAAACAATTAATTTCAAGGGGCACCTGGGTGGCTCAGTCAGTTAAGCGTCCGACTTGGGCTCAGGTCATGATCTCATGGTTCGTGGGTTCGAGCCCCGCGTCAGGCTTTGTGTTGACAGTTCGGAGCCTGGAGCCTGCTTCAGACTGTGTCTCCCTCTCTCTCTGCCCCTCCCCTGCTCATACTCTGTGTCTCTGAAAAATAAACATTAAAACAGTAATTTCCAGTGACAAATGAGTAATCATAGAATTCTACTCCCTCTATTTGGCCAAGGTGAAATCAACACCACTCTACATGTAGGTATTTCTGGTTGCACACGTTTGGGGCAGCCCAGCAGTACCGAGCAGCTCTAGAATTTCTATACAGAAGAACACAAGACTTAAAGCAACCTGGAAGCAAAGTGGGCCTAGGAACTGGTCCTGAAGCCACATGTGTACAGCAAGAACCAAGTTTATGTATTTGGGATGGTTCTGGAGAAATACCAAGGGAGAGTGTGGGGGGGCTCTTCAATATCACCCTGCCTCACCCCATCAACAGTGGGGTGGTGGTGGCGGTTTCAAATATTAAATATTAAAGAAAGTGAATATATCAGTTTAGCCTGTTCTAAGAGATATGAGGGGAAGGGAAGCTGGGAAAGAATTTTTTTTTTTTTTTTGACCTTGATCAAGCAAGTCTAATGAAGTCAGCAGAAAATGCAAAATTGTCAACAAGTGTGTGAGAACAAAGTTCCTTGTGAGGGGAAACAACACTACAGAAATAGGACAAAGGAAAGGCACCTTGCTCTGAGGCGTACTCACCCGGTCTGTGACTGTCGCTATAATCAGGGCATTTGGCACCAGAAGGGCAGTTTTGGTTTTCTTTATTAGGGTGACGGAGAAAGCCGGAATAGAGATCTGAAACAGAGTCAGTGAGTTAATACGGGTTCAGGCTTCATAGGACAGGACTTCAAATCGTCATATTCAAGGGAAAAATTTTTTAAAGTTTAACTAAGAAATCAAAACCAGCAGTAAGCTCTCCAGCCTCCAAGAAGAAAAACCAGTCTCCTCAAAGTTCTGTTTACACAGCCAGAGGGCAAATGTACATCATCAGTTCTACTTCAGGGCTTGGTGGGAAACCTTCATCTTGAAACAAGGGAATGCATGCAAAGAAGCACAGTCATTTTAAAGACAGGCCCAAGGCTCTAAAGCAGTTATGTGGACATCCACTTGGGGTTAATCTCCGCATACACCGCTCTCCTACATCCTGAGGCACATGCGGGTAGGGAAACACTGAATAGCACTGGGAGACACAAAGCCTGGGACGTGAATTCTCAGCTCAGTTCTGAAAAAAGAAAACCTTGTTTTAAATGAACCTGGAGGCCAGAAAGGGGAGCTCTTGTGCCCCCACCTCTGGCCCTCAGTTGCAGACTCCAACAGGAAGAAGCCACCCCCCCCTTTAGTACTCACACCAGCTGGAAGAATTTCTCCTTGCCCAACAACAAGCTCAGCCAATAAGAAAATACATCTGATCCCGTGAGAAGCCCTGAATTCTCACTTCCCTCCAATGGGCTTGTGTTCAGAGCAACCCTTCCCAACTTCCTCCTTTTCTCTGTAATTTAACTTTCCCTCCTTTGATCTCCAGACTTGCCTATGATTTGCCACAGCCTGCATGTCTCAAAGTGCTATTCCTAAATAAACCCATTTTGCTGATAAAACAACTGGCTGTTTTACTTTTAAGGTCCACGCTATCTATGTGACCTACTCAACCTTGAAAGCTACCCTTTCTAAGCCTCAGTCTCCTGATGTGTAAAATGGAGATAATCTTACCTTTCCCCAGGATTTTCTGTTGATTAAATGAGATAATATATGGAAAATGCCTAGCACTCATTAAGAAACTCACTCATTGTACTCGCTTAGGAAGCCTGTGCACAGACTAAAATTAGAACAATACAGAGAAGATTAGCATGGCCCCTGCACATGGATGATGTGAAAATTCATGAAGTGGTCCATATTAAAAAAAAAAAAAAAAGTCATTTCCTCATTTGTCTCCTAAAAAAAGATTGGGTAAAATAAAAGAACTCTAACTTCTTTTCTGGTTCAAACAATCGAGAATTAAAACAATGACAAATGGGGGCGCCTGGGTGGCGCAGTCGGTTAAGCGTCCGACTTCAGCCAGGTCACGATCTCGCGGTCCGTGAGTTCGAGCCCCGCGTCAGGCTCTGGGCTGATGGCTCAGAGCCTGGAGCCTGTTTCCATATCTGTGTCTCCCTCTCTCTCTGCCCCTCCCCCGTTCGTGCTGTGTCTCTCTCTGTCCCCCAAAAAAATAAACGTTGAAAAAAAAAAAAATTAAAAAAAAAAAAACAATGACAAATGAAGTGGCTACCATTTATTGCCTCCTAGTCACCAAATGAGAATGTCATCAAATTGTGACAGTCCTGGGAAGAAGTTAATCTTTTAAAAAAAATTTTTTTAGGTTTATTTTTATTTTTGAGAGACAGTGAGAGAGCAAGCAGGGGAGGGACAGAGAGGGGGGACAGAGCATCTGAAGCAGTGAGTCCGATGTGGGGCTCGAACTCACCAACTGTGAGATCATGACCTGAGCTGAAATCAAGAGTCAGATGCTTAACTGACTGAGCTACCCAGGGACCCCAGGAAGGAGATATTCTAAGACATAAGGAAATGTGTTTCAAGAGGTATGTGACTTGCCCAAGGTCAAAAATGTAACAGGTTACAAAGATGAACCAATCTGATCCAAGATGTGCGTTGTTTTTCATACAATGTACTACATGCATGGACCAGATACTATAAAGACCAGATGTTCCTGATACTTTTATGTTATATCCCTCCAACCCACTTTGGATTCACAGAGAAATGGATAATATCCCTTTGATCCTGGAAAACAGAGTAACACACATCCATGGCAAAATGACCTGACTCCCTCCACGGGTACACACACACACATGTACATTTTGTAAAAATGCTTTGCATATTCTAAAAGAGAACAAGGTCAGTGGGGGGAGAGGAGGGCCTTAGGTTAGTACTGCCAACTTGAAGGAAGAAAAAAGAGCTTTTAATTCTGAATACTTACATTCCCATATTTAGGCTTATGAGATGGAAATGTTCTATTCCTCAAAGTTCCAGATAGGAAGACTATGGAAGAAGGAGAGGCTAATCTTTTTTAAGTTTATTTATTTATTTTGAGAGAGAGAAACAGAGAGAGAGAGAGAGAAACAGAGAGAGAGAGAGAGAAGCAGAGAGAATCCCAAGCAGGCTCCACACAGCGCAGAGCCCAATGCGGGGCTCAAACTCACAAATTGTGAGATCATGACCTGAGCCCAAATCAAGAGTTGGATGCTTAACTGACTGAGCCACCCGGGCGCCCCGAGGGGCTAATCTTTTTAAAAAAAATTTTTTTTTTCAACGTTTTTATTTATTTTTGGGACAGAGAGAGACAGAGCATGAACGGGGGAGGGGCAGAGAGAGAGGGAGACACAGAATCGGAAACAGGCTCCAGGCTCTGAGCCACCAGCCCAGAGCCCGACGCGGGGCTCGAACTCACGGACCGCGAGATCGTGACCTGGCTGAAGTCGGACGCTTAACCGACTGCGCCACCCAGGCGCCCCATCGAGGGGCTAATCTTAATGAGACATTTGCTAACAAGTATTTTGCTAAAGAACTCTACCCTCTAAAATTTTGAAGAATGAGATGACTCCTACGTTTTAAGTTGGGATACCAAGATGGATGAGGATATAAAAGTGAATCTAATTTTGTTTCTGAGTAGTGACACAAACACACAGAAACTAGGGGCTATAAATTTGGGTATCTTCATAACCTAGGGCATGGAACACTTTAACAAGGAGTTTTCAACCAACCGCTTCTTAAGTATAAAATGACAGCCAGATCACATTTGAGAAATAAAGCATCAATCACTTTTCCGTTTGGGCCTAGATGGAATCTTATACGTGCATTTAATGTTACCAGCATCTGAAAATACTGCCAGAATGATCAAAAGGTCCTGATTACATTTATTAATATTTTTCCAGGGGAGGGTGCCTAGAAAATGTCTCTTCCTAGAGTGCACTGTTTGGTTGACTTTAGTTCATATTGGAAGGTGTTGGAGCCAGTAAGGAAAGTCTGCCCCAGATCTGAGGACCCAATCTCCCTGACACCATCCTCAGAGGGGAAGAAACGTACAAATCACTCTCATGGTTCGTATTTCCCACCTCCTGGTAATTTCCAGTCTCTTGTCTCTTAGAGTAGCTGTAGCACATCCAAAAGACCCACTACCTGGTATTGTCCCTATCACTCTTTTTGTCGTGAGGGCATATCCTTCGCCAGTGTCAGGGCGACACGACCATCCAGCCAAATTAGGACTTCGTAAAAATAAGCTTAACTCTCCAGGGCGGTAGCAGCCCCAAGAGTCTGACAGATGGCACATCGCTTCATGTTCAAGGCATGTGTTTCCACAACTGTGACAACAACAGTGTACAGCCAGCCATTTACATTTGGTCACGTGCCTTCCCAAATAGCA